GATGCACGCCTATAATCTAGCACTTAGGACAAGACCAGGAGTTTAGGATTATTTTCAGTTACCCAGAAAGTTCAAGAGCAGCCTGGGCTACAGTAGACCTGGCCTCAAACAACAAAAACAAAAACTGGCAGAGAACCGGAAATAGATGAACCAGCGTGAAATGCAGTCATAGAGCCCCCTAGACAGGCCCTCCTTCTAGGAACAGCAGTGGCCCTCTTCTCCAAGTGGGATCCTTGGTGTGAGTGAATCAATCTGCCCTGTGTGGGCACATGCACTGGCTCCTTGGCTGCAGAGGTCTCCCTGGGATGCGCCTTCATCGTGGGGGCCAAGGTTTCTGTTTGATTGTTTGTTTTGTGGGCAGATAACTATTTTGTGGAGGATAATCATAGTCAGAGGAGTAGATCTTTAAAGAGCAGATTTGTTTCTAAGAGTGAATTGTTCTAAGCACTCAGTCCCCTTTGTCACTGTCTTCTTTACACTGCTGCCCTTTTATACAGGTTCCCTCCCTAACTGGCTTAGCAGAAGCCGTCTTCAGATAAAAAGCTGCCTAGCTAGCCTCCAGAACTATATGCCAGACTTTAAAACACAAAGTCCCGAGCTTCAGGTACTCTGTTATAACAACAGAGAATGGACAAAGACACTGTGAGAAAGCCACTGTGAGTCTCAGGCACTTGGGCAGGGTGATCAGTTAATGGGAGAACAAAATGTTCTAGCACAGTCCGGGCTCTTCTCTTCCTGGTGCTATCAGGCTTCCAGGAAATCTTGGTGGTGCTGACTCTGACATGTTAGTCATCACACACAGTGTTAATGCTGGGCCGTCCTACTGAAACATGAGCTGGTCCAGGGACATCATTGGACATGTGGCCCCAATCATTCCCACAAAAGGAAGGCACGCCCTGCTGCAGAACAGTTAGAGCCAAAGCTGGACAGAAAACGTGATGAACTGCCTCAGAGGTGGCAGTTTCCTATCTTAAGATGTTTTACAGCTTCATTATATTTTATATAATAGAGGCATGCTATGTGTATATACGTAAATTAAATGTGTTGACATATAAAATGAAGCCACCACAATTGCAATAATGACTATCTCTACATTTTCTCATATATCTTCACGCTCCTTTGGAATCACTCCTTTTTGTCCTTCTCCATACTTTCTCTGGCAGGCAGCCAGTAATAGCCTTTATCTTACTATAGCTTTGTTTACATTGTCTAGAAATTTATTTATTTATGAAGAGATGGGTCTTACTATGCTTCGCAGACTGGCCCTGATCTCCAGTGCTCAAATGAGCCTTTTGCCTCAGTTTCCTAGGTAGCTTGGATTACAGGCACGAGGCACTGTGACTTTTGTTATTATAGCAAAATATGTGAAGCTGGTTTGCTTTGTGTTTTAAAGTTTGGCATATAGTTTTGGAGGCTAGCTAGGCAGCTTTATCTGATGATGGCTTCTGCTAAGCCAGTTACAACACCATGGAGGGAGCCTGTATGAAAGGCCAGCGGTGTGAGTGACAAGAAGGGTTGGCTACTTATAAGAATTCACTCTCAGGAACTAACATAGTACTCTAAGTCACCCCTCTCCAAAGAATTCTATGACCTAGAATTTTGTGTAACTGGAATCATGTAGTGGCCATTTATTTCCCCTCTAGCATTTTAAATTTAATACTTTCTTTCCAAAAGGTTTATGCTGCTTTTTAGTAGTTTTTTTCTCTCCAATACAATATTTTATTATTTGGGAATTTCATCTCAATTACACTCACTTTTCTACTCCTCCCAGGCCCACACTCCCACCCTTTGGCACTTGATAGTTTATTTTTTAAGTGTATTTATTTTTATTTCATGTGCATTGGTATTTTGTCTGCATATATGCCTGTGTGAGGGTGTCAGATTCCCTGGAACTGGAGTTACAGACGGTTGTGAGCTGTCATGTGGGACCTCTGGAAGAGCAGCCAGTGCTCTTTTTTTAAAAAAATTATTTATTATGTGTATATACAGTGTTCTGCCTGCATGTATGCTTGCACTGCAGGCCAGAAGAGGGCACCAGATATCATTATAGATCATTACAGATGGTAGTAAGCCACTTTGTGGTTGCTGGGAATTGAACTCAGGACCTCTGGAAGAGCAAACAGTCCTCTTAACCTCTGAGCCATCTCTCCAGCCCATTAGTTTATCTTTATTTTATCTATCTATCTATCTATCTATCTATCTATCTATCTATCTATCTATCTATCTATCTATCTATCTATTGATTTTTCAAGACAGGGTTTCTCTGTGTAGTTTTGGTGCCTGTTCTGGATCTCGCTCTGTAGCCCAGGCTGCCCTTGAACTCACAGAGATTCCCCCTGGCTCTGCCTCCCGAGTGCTGGGATTAAAGGCGTGCGCCACCACCGTCTGGCCATTAGTTTATTTTTAATTGCTAATTTTAATATAGTATTCTGCCATGAGCATGCCACCACAAAGCATTTTTCTACTTATCTGTTAGTGGGTTGTGGATTGTTTCTAGATTTTAACTATTAAAAATTTCGCTTCTCGGCCACTTGTTTACAAGTCTTTATATGGCCATGTGCACTTGTTTATCTTGGGTAGGCACCAAGTTATAGAATGACTCGTGCTATCATACTGGCTACCAGTACCCTGAAAACCTAATGAAGGAGCTACTTTGTGTGTGTGTGAGTGTATGAGTGTGTCTTTGTCTATGGGTGACATTAGTCATTAGGAAGATGTTGACTTTCAGAGACACAAGCTGCTCCCCACCTGGACTTTGGTTTGCTTTCTCCTTCGCTCACAACCCTGCATTCAGCCCCGCTCAGAGTTAAGGCTGCAGTTGTGACTTCGTCCTGCAGGTGGCAGGAGCGGGCAAGGTCTGAAGGCCCAACTCGTAGCTGCTCCCTTCGGCAGATCCTGGGGCTTCCTGTATGCCCAAGTGGGAGGACTTTTGGGTTCCCCTCCTTTCCCAGGTTTGGCAAAGCAGATTGGCAAACCTAGAACTGTAGGCTCCAGTTCAGGCTTCTAAAGGAGAGTCTGTGTTCATCAACATTTTTATCTTCCAAGCTCCTGCTGAACAGTCCACTAAGTGCTTAACAATCAATGGCCTTTCTAGTCCAAAGTCCTTCTGCAAATCTCCCTAAAACACATGGTCAGGTCTCTCACAGCAATACCCCACTATCCTGGTACAAATTTCTGTCTTAGGGTTACTATGGCTGTGATTAAACACTATGGTCAAAGCAATGGGGGTGTGTGGGGGGGGGCTTCTTCCTTATACTTTGGAAGTAGCTGGGACTGACGCATGGTCCTTGCCTCCTAATTTTCTTTTCTTTTTTTATACTTGTCAAGTGGTAGGTGGAGACTGTCTTCTGTCTCCTACTGCGTTCTTGTCCCTCTCTCTAAGAATGGAGGGGACAGACAATTGAGTACAAATGGCAAGTATTTTATTTTTTCAAATTGGAAATGGCAAGGTTTAAGTGGAATGAAACAATTTAAAACAGACTGCCACATGGGATTAAAATAAACAGGTTTGAACTCTCCGTAGCAGTAGGATACTGTTATAGTTTCGAGAAGTGTTCCCAGTTAACGGGAGTGTTACAGCTCAGCAGTTCTTACGGAACTCTGGGATACCAGCCAAGAGCAGTCTCTTGTGGAGCAACACAGAGGAGCAGGACTGACGGTATCTTGTTCTCCTGTCTCCAGAGAGTCTGGAAGGTTGGAGTCATAGGTCTCTGAAGCAGTTCTTCGAGGCTGGAAACAGCCGCAGGAATGAATTCGCCTTTGCCGCCCAGCCGGTGCTGAGCCGTGGAGGCTGAGGCAGAAACACCTCGAGTCCTGGAAGCTGGCTTTGAGCAAGCTCCTTGCCCAGGACAGAAAAACGTCAGGTGAAGGCAGCCTCCTCTTTGATGAGTGAGGTGTTTGGGAGTCTGGCTCTTGAAGTCTTCATGGCTTTTTCCTATGAAGAGAACAGGAGCACTAGGCTCAGAAGTCTTCCTTTTCCTCTTTTTCCATGGGTTCCTGCAGTAGTTCTGGCTTTATAGTCTTGAAATGTGTGGATTTGGTTGCCAGGATGCCAACTAAATGTTGCTGGCTAAATGTGGGTATGTAAATAAGGTGAAGAAATAGGACCAATCAGAGAAGAGCTATCAAACCTAATAGGGGAAAGACCCCTAAGCTCCACCAGTCTCTGTTTCCATAGAGGTAGGAAACACTGTGTAAGTTTCTGCTGTGATGTTTTCAGATGCTTGCTGTGTCCAGGCTGTTTAGTTCATCAAGGGGTTTAAATGGGATGCAAATGAAACCGCTTTGAACTCTAGGTAGCAGTAGAACGCTCTTCTAGTTCTGAGAAGTGTTACAGTTACACTGCGTGTTACAGTTCAGCAGCTCTGATCTATTAGTTGTTTCTTGGGTGTGTGTGGTGTGGTGGTGGGGCTCTTTGTTTCTGTTTAGGACTGCTGCTACTGTTTTAACTACTGTTAGCCGCCTGCTGCCTGTGGCTCCTTTGTCCTCTACACCTGAGCATGCTGGATACTGGAAAGTTCCCAATGGGGGACCCCATCTAACCAACATTTGTATACAAACAATGCTACATTTTCTAACTGTACAATTGTGGGATGCTGAGAGATATGCTGACCTTCTTCACCCACCCACTAAGCAGTGAAATCAAGATATTGTACACAGTGCCTACTGTGTACTTTAGTCCTTTTTTTTTTTTAAAGGCAGGGCTTTTAATTAGCTCAAATTCAATTGTGGCTTGAAAATGTTACATGGACAATTCCAGAAACAAACAATTTGTAAGTTCTAAATTGTATGCCATTCTGAGTGGACTGATAAAATATGTCCACTGCCGCTGGGCGGTGGTGGCCCACGCCTTTAATCCCAGCACTCGGGAGGCAGAGGCAGGAGGATTTCTGTGAGTTCGAGGCCAGCCTGGGCTACAGAGTGAGTTCCTGGGAAGGCACAAAGCTACCCTGAGAAACTCTGTCTCGAAAAACAAGAACAAAAACAAAAACAACAACAAAAGCAACAACAACAACAAAAATGTCCACTGCCAAGGATGCCTCATAGTTACCCAATTGCCCCTTGGCTTTCACAGGCAAGCTGTCCAAGAGGGACATCTCTGAGAATGCCACCTGCAGCAGGCAAGTTTTACAGAACCAAGACCAAGCCAAGGGGGATCATAGACGGTGGAAATGAGGCCAAAAGAAAGATCAGGCAGAGGCATGATTCAGGACTCAGGTTTCAGCTGCCCAGATTTCAGGATACCCATTCCCCAAGGGCCCTGCCCCACATCTCCCAGAGTTCTAGGATCAGGTAAGAGTGGGTCTCCTTCAGGGCTTGGTAGAGTTGACTTTTTCTGGCCTTGTCCCAGGACCGACTGTAGCTGAACAGCCTCCGCATCTTGTCTGAATTGGTGGCCTCAGCACGAACCATCTCATACTGCTCTTCACTCAGCACTTGACCATGCAGTTTGTCCAAGACAGGGTCCACTGATGTCACTCGGGCCACCAGCTGCTCCCGATGCTGGTCCACAAAGTGCAGGGAGGGCCAGGCAACTGTGGATGAAGGCAAGACTGGCAGTAATCAAAGAAAGGCTCCCAGCAGAGCCTCTCACAGCTCATTCTCCACTTCTGTTTCTTTTCTTTTCTTTTTTTTTTTTTTTGGTTTTTCGAGACAGGGTTTCTCTGTGTAGCTTTGCGCCTTTCCTGGAACTCACTTGGTAGCCCAGGCTGGCCTCGAACTCACAGAGATCCGCCTGGCTCTGCCTCCCGAGTGCTGGGATTAAAGGCGTGCGCCGCCGCCGCCGCCGCCGCCGCCACCACCGCCTGGCCACTTCTGTTTCTTAGCTCATTGTGTCACTGGCTTCCTTCCCACTCTGGAAACCCCTTGCCTCGTCTCATGTCAGTATCCAGTCTGACACTCTGTGGGAACAGAAAAGGTTCATGACTGAGGTTGTGAGTAGGGTGTGTTATGGTCCCCATGGCCAGGAGCAAAAGGCCCGGGGACTTGGATGTGAAGCTCTCCAACACAATCCTGGTGAGGCCGGCAATGAGAGGGTCCCCTCTTTTCTCCTTTCCCTTCCCTCCAGAACCAGATAGTGCACCCTGAAACCCTCACTGCCTCATTTGGTCTGGCAGGTGCTACTGACCTGTAGGGGCTGGAGTGACTGGAGTGGATGCAGGTCTAAGGTCTCCTAGAGGAAAGGAGAGATGGAGATGCATCTATAATAGTGCTAGTTATAAACTCACATGACATACCCTGAAACTCTCGTCTAGATGGTTGGATTCTGAGGACAAGCTAGAGACAAATTCTGTCAGAGTCTGGCCTAAGAGTAGGATGGACCTATAGACACAATCCAGGTGAATCCTTTCCTAATGTCTTTAGGAAGTTGAAGCCCAGAGGTTATGATTTTAGACTAATCAAAAGAAAGAAAGCTTCTAGATGAGTAACAGCAACTTCTTCCAACATCATCTCAACCCATTTTAGCCTGCCTTGGCCTGAATTAAATTCCTGGAGAACTAACCAAGTCCTTTGCCAGAAGTTTTAAAGTATTTGATATTTTATTTTGAGTTGAAACCTATTTCTTTTCCTTTTTAATATTTTTAAAGAATTATTTTTGTAATTTTAAATTATGCTTGTTTGTGTGTGTCTGTGCACATGAGTGTAGGTGCCTGTAGAGCCCAGAAGAGGACTCTGGATCTCCTGGAGCTGGAGTTATAAGCAGCCATGAAACATGGGTGCTGGGAAATAAACTCAGGTCTCGTGGAAGAATTGAAATTCTTATAAAATCAGTGTCTGTATAACTTAAAAAGCCACATCATTTTTCTGGGGGCATTTCTGATCAGTTGGCCCATCATGGATCTTTCTCCTACCTCTGTGCACCCTGAATTTGTCCTGGGTTTACCTGGTTTCAACAAGGTTTCCCAAACTACAGTGTCAGCATTCTTGTTTTTTATTTCCAACCGGATCCCTGATTGTAAGTGGCCAACATAGATTTCTGAGAAGAGCTGGGCTTCCGCGGAGCTCCGGTAGCACAGTTCAAGTTCCTGGAGAAAGCAAGAGCCTCTATGTGAGAAGCCATTGTTTGTCCTGAAGATGAGTCTTTCCCCACTCCAACACCCTCTTGGTCCTACTCCATTGCAGAGGGACATTATCCTTTCTCCTGAAGTCAATTGCTTTGACAACATGTACTAACTCAGAAGGGTGAGAGCACTGAGAGAATCCATGGACCAACTCAAGGCTCATTCTCAAAGTAGTGCTCACACATTCTAAGCCAAAGCTTTTCCCCTTCATCTTTTCTTTTCTCTCTTCCTCTTCCTCTTCATCCTTCCTTCCTTCCTTCCTTCCTTCCTTCCTTCCTTCCTTCCTTCCTTCCTCTTTAACTGGGCCTTTCTTTTTTCTTCTTTCCTAGCTTGCATCTAAAGCCCTCATTCCTTTAGTACAAAATTTTATTCCTAACAAGTCCTAAACTTAACTTGTTTCCAGTCAACAGAAAACTTACATCTATCCGTTTTCCTAGGCAAATCAAATCTAAGACAGAAGACTTGACTCCCAGCTGTCTTTCAAGCATGCCCTTCCCAAGTCTCCTCAAACTCAGAAAATTGCACAACCATCTTTTGAGTGCCCAGATCCCCATCTGGGTACCGTCTGTAACCTCTTCCTGTATCTTCCCATAATAACCTGTCTATCGAAGTCTGTTGCCTTTACCAACACGATTGATTTAGAAACCCATCATAAAGACTCATAGTCCTTTTGGTCTTGACAGTTTCTTGTGTTGTCAGTTTCCTGACTCTATCAACTATTCTTCATCTCCATGGCTGCTTCCTCAGTTAAGCTACTATGGCCTCTCATCTGCATCCTTTTGATTTGTTCTTGCTTTTGCTCTTGCCTGCTTATCATCCATTCTCACCTAGTGCTAGAAACATCTTTATTAGAGTAAACGAAGTCCTGCATGATCATGTTTAAGACCCTGTAGGTGGAAGTTTCTCTCCTGCCTGCCTGTTCCCAAATACCCAGCAGCTGCTTCTTAAATAATTGACTATGAGGCTTATTTATAAATGCTCAGCCAGTAGCTCAGGCTTATTATTCACTTGCTCTTGCACTTAAATTAACCCATAATTCTTGTCTATGTTTAGCCATGTAGCTTGGTACCTTAACTCTGTACAACATTCTCATCTTGCTTCCTCTGTATCTGGCTAGTCACTCCTTGACTCCACCTTCCTTCTTCCCAGTATTCTCAGTTTGGCTTTCCTGCCTAACTTCCTGCCCAGCTACCAACCAGTCAGTACTTTTATTTTTTTTTTTTGGTTTTTCAAGACAGGATTTCTCTGTGTAGTTTTGGTGCCTGTCCTGGATCTTGCTCTGTAGCCCAGGCTGGCCTCGAACTCACAGAGCTCTGCCTGGCTCTGCCTCCCAAGTGCTAGAATTAAAGGCATGAGTCACCACCGCCCAGCAAGTCAGTCAATTTATTAAACCAATTTGAGTGACAAATATTTACAGTGTACAAGAGCATTACCCCACAGCAGACCCCATGGTGGGGTCTTGCCTTTACACTTGCACAAAATCAAAATTCCGTAACAGGACAAACTGGACCAATGAGTCCTAGGAGGTGCTGCCTCTAGTGTGACCCCACTTTCTGCTACATGCACCAACTCTGCCACGCTAACTTCCTCTCTGGCACCTGGAGATTTCAAGCTTGCTCTCATCTTTGTGCCTCTGTACATGTTCCTGTGTCTGAAGTACTTCAGAATCCTACATGCCTCAGCTCTTTATGTCAAATGTTTCTGACTTGCCAATAGAAGTGTCCAAGTCATTCTCTGATAAGTACAAATCCTACAACTGATCTTGGTGAAAAGGCTGAGAAGTGATCCCAAGTCACTCTCACAGTGCTGTATTTACTTGCTAGCTCTCGGTGTTACTGGTTACTATTATTTATTCAGTTCTTACCTGATGGGATGCTACCCTCCTAAGTAAATGGATCTCTCTGACCTATCTCCCCTGAAGCATATCTCTGGCACTAGGTTAACATTTGTTGAATGAGTAGATTATCTCTCTCTTATCACTGGTTGGCAACAGATATACAGAAGGGCTCCAAACTGTGCAGCTTGCCTATTCATCCTTTGGTTCATGATTCCAAATGTAACAGACAGACATCACCTCCTTTTCAGTACCTGTCACCTAGCTCAATATTAAATAGGATCATCAAGGTGTGAGTGTATGTATGTGTATACATGTGCCATGGTGTGCACGTGGAGGTCAGAAGACAGCTTGATGGAGTCAGTTCTCTCCATTTACCATGTGGGCTCCAGGGACCAAACCTAGGTCATCAGGTGTGGTGGCAAGTGCCTTTATCCACTGAGCCATCTTGCTCATAAGGCTCCACCTTACTTTTTGCTAGGCTGGCCAGCTTTCCCAAGGGATCCTCCTATCTCTGTCTTCCCAGCACTGGAGTTACAGGCAGCTTTTCACATGGGTGCTGGGGTTCTTAACTCAGACCTTCATGTTTGCGTGAAATCACACTTTGCTGCCGTCTTCCCAGCCCCTGTCTGGGATCATTTATTTTTTGTCTTTTTTTTTTTTTTTGAGACAAGGTTTCTCTGTGTAGCCCTAGCTGTCCTGGAACTCTATCTGTGGACCAGGCTGGCCTTGAACTTACAGACATTCACCTGTCCCTGCCTCCCAAGTGCTGGGACTAAAGCTGTGCACCACCACCTGGCCTGTCTGGGGTCTTAAGTGCTGTTGCTAGCCAGTGTCCTGATAGATGTTTCAGACTAAACTCACACTCGTCTAACTCTGGTTCAGCCACAGACCACCATTCACATATGCTTTCTGTTCATAAGCAGAAAATCTGGGCCAGTTATGGACATGTGGGTAATACAGATTAACGCTCAGTAGCTTTTGGTCAAAGAGTGTTGGGAGAGGATATACTGAGAAATAGGGAAAAGCCAAAGGCAGTCCCCAGTGTCCTGGAAGAATCTGAGACTCAGCTAAATCTCAGTGTCAATACAAAGAGTTCCAAGACTTGCGGGTCAGCCATGTTACAGCTCTTCCATTGGACATGCACAGGGCATCTTCTTTAAATAGCTTACCACGAAGCCCACAGAATCCCAAACACCCTACAACCCATACTAAATGAATCTTGTATGTTCAACCATTCCAATATTCTATTGCTTTAGTTTCACCATGGTAACATTTGGTTTGTTGAGATCGCCAGTCAGAGAACTGTCCCTGCTCTCTGACAATACCCAACATAGAGTAATTAGGCTTCCTTAGTTCTTCCTGACAAGTACCAAACGACGGACATCCTACAGTGCTTTCTTCCTAGAGCCATTTTACTGAGATGTCCCACGATGAGTAATAAGTCAGGTTTATTTGGCTTCATGGCTTGAGCACAGTATAGCCTAAACACTATGGTGCTCCAAGTCAGTCCATCCAGTTGTGATTTCCCGTACACCATGAATTCCAATTGCTTTCCTCCAAACCTCAAGTTTCAGTGCCTGAGAGAACCACCTAACAGGTTTTCCCAAGCCTAACATCTGATCTTTGAGAAGGGCAAGTATCAGGCTGCTTACCTTGGGTATAATTTCCATAGTCCCTGAACCAGACACGGTATATCGAGAGCCCACATAAAGGGAGCCCACGGGGGGAGGCTTGTGTATTCGCACAAACTGGAACTTCATTTCTTCATCATCTATGGCCTAAGGAAGGTAATGGACAGTGATTTCTGCCCTACATAATCTTGCTGAATAAGGTGAGATGGCCCATTGGTTCTTTTGTGTGTGTGCATGGAAGCGGGGGTGGGGGGTGGTGGTAACCAAACCTCTGCAATCCTCCTCCCCATGCACTGTACAGACAGCTCCACTCTAGTTTGTTCCATGTTCACAATGGTCGTAGGGTTACTGCCAGAGAAGAAGGGGCAGGGAAAGGCTGCAGGTTGGGTGTGGAGCCTCCCCATCCTTCCAATGCCATCAAAGAGGCTGTAGAAAGCTGTGAAGAGGTTAGTGAAGGAGCAGCAGACACAAGGAAGACTTGGGGTTGAGGAGAACAGACCAAGGCTGAGCAGAGGGCAGATCACTCACCCACACCAGGGTCTACTCACAAGAGGCCCACCCTCACTCCCAGGAGAGGATCCCACTGGGATGCTCTCCTCGTTTCGTGTTTTCTGTCAGCCCACCCTGGATGGGCCTGTGTGGTTCTCACCTTCCGAATAGTGCAGTCATTGGGGATCAGGTAAAGGTGGAGTTTCAGTTCCTCAGCATGAGGTTGATGGTAGAGCAACGTGATGGAGGTGATGGATAGGAATCGCCAGGTGGCAGGGATTCTTTTCAGCATCACTCCTATAGTCGAGAAGCTGGGGTTTTTCAGAACTGTGCAATGTGGCTCCACTTTGGCTGGCTTCTCCAAGACTACCCCGTCCTTCATAAAGTGGGCCACTTGGAACTTTGAGGTGTCCTCCTGAATTCCTGTCCAAGAATGGAGTCAAATGGCATAGATTAAGTGCCTGCCTGAGCCAGGCTTGGCTTGGGATAGTAGAAGCCCAGGGCTCAGCTCAGAGAGACATTGGAGGAAGTTTAAATGACTCTGTCCTCTCAAAAATCCTAATCCAGGGGAATGGATTTAGGCAGCGCTTTAGGAGAGTGATGATGTAGAACCCTCATGAATGGGCTTAGGAGAGAGTCAAGGGCCCCCTTCTGCCACCTGAGAGAAAAGTAGAAGGTGCCATTTACAAAGAAGATAGTCTTTTCTAGACACTGAGTATCCTAGCACCTTGATCTTGGCCTTCCTAGGAGACCTCCAAAGACATTGTCACCAGCTTGGTGAATTCATTCCTGTCCAAATGTGACCTGCAGTTCAGCAGGCTTTGGCTAGATTCCTTTGCACTCAAAGGCTCCCTAATTCCTTGGGAAAATCCCATTTCCCCGGCCTACTTGGTGGATGGATGAGATTAACAAGGGTATGGATAGAGTGACTTTATAATGGGAAAGGGTGGGCTTGCCAACCACCCCTTTCCCTAGGTTTAGAGTGTGAAAAGGGCTAAAGACAGACTGTTTTCTCTGTTCTTCTTGTTTGGCTGTAGAAATTCACTCTATTAGTCAAATACCAGCCTTGGATACCCTAGTGCAGCATGAGGACAGATGAAGGTCTATCACTGATGGACATGGGCAGAGCTCTTTCTCCCAAACAGATCACCTGGACAACCTCTGGGCCCATGTCTCACTGTGGTAGAGGCAGCATGGTAGAACAGTGGTTATATTCACTACTCTGTGGATCATCAGCCATCATCACCCTTTCCATTTCTAAATGGACTTATAAAGTCTCCAGAGCTTCCTTGGGCCTCTGTCCTTAACCTTGTGTTGCTCTGGAACTTTCCCTAGGGAATACTTTACAGGGGATCAGGACTCCTGGAGTTCTGAGTTTCTGGTCCATTTCCCCTGCCCCATGCTCCGCTCCTAGTGAGCAGCTTCAGTTGCTCACTAAACTTCTGTGACTGCAGAAATGAGACTTCCCTGGAACTAAAAAACCTAAGCACCAAGAGAACAAATAACCCAATTAGGAAATGGACTATGGAACTGAGCAGTGCTCTTAAAACAAGAAATACTTCTTGGAACTTTATCCATGGAGGTGAGTGAGGTTGAGATAGTTTATGACCCCTTTCTTCTCTTAAGTCCTTTTTCCATGACTCCAGTTCTCACATGTCTGTAGGGATGGTAATGGCTTTCACATGTTGACAGACTTTGGTACTAAGTGTTGCTTGTTAGTTCACTTTGTACATGGTCTTCACAAGATCTCTTAAAATAGCTTAATTTATCCAATGTCTGGCTAGGAGCTTAAGGGACATCGTGTATAAAGAGCACTTAATAAATACCAGTTAATGTTGCTACTGAGGGGAGGCATGGGCAGGGGAGAGATGCCCTCTCCCATTCCACTCCCCTGCCCATAAATGCCTGAGGCAGGTGGGAGAGCTGGCCCTGGGACCATTTGAGCAGGAGAGCTGCCCCTGCCCATCACCAGCTGCAACACTTGGGAGAGCAGGCCCTGCACCCTGCTTTGGCAGCAAAATAGAGCCAACTCCATTGGTGGAGGCGGGGGTAAGCCAGCCCCAAAGTCGAGAATGGGAGAGCTATCCCCATTACTCATCTGTCATGTGGCAGCATAGGTAGGGGAGAGATGTTCTCCCCCACCCCACTCCCACCCATCAATGCCTGAGGCAGGTGGGAGAATTGTCCCTGTCCCTCATCAGCTGCAGCACTTGGGAGAGTGGCTCCTGCCCCTTGCCTGGGCAACACAGAAGAGCTGGTTCTCTGTGGGAGAACCCACCCTGAGGACATGAAAGCAGAACTGGTCTCATCCCCTGCTCATCACTACAAAGGGTGAACTCACCAGGGCAATGCTGCAGAGCTCATCCTGGTGATAAGGGCAAGAGAAAGCTGGTGGGCTGACCAAATCTGCAATTACTCAGGCCCAGAACCAGGGTTATGTGTTGGCCCACTCCAATATCCATCCCATCTGTGATCTGCTGGAGCATGTGAAGGGACAGGTCCTGCAGACCCAAAGCTGTAGGATCTCCACAACACGGGACAACAACAGGATAACCAAGAAGAGTTCTAGTGAGGCTCAGCATTGATAGTGTAGCAGAATCAGAGGACTTGAACCAGACCAATGGTTGTTTGCAATGAACACTTGCAAGTAAAGCCATATGGATAAAAAGGGTTTACTGTCTGACTCACTATGTCACACTACAGCTTCCATGATGAGATTGATTTTTCTTTTTTTGTTTTCCTCCTACATTTTATTTTATTTTATTTTGTCGGTAGAGGTTGCAAGGACAGAGGGCAGATGCGAAGTGATAGTGAGTTGAATGGGATGGAAATGCGTGATGTGAATGACACAAAGAGTAAATTAAAAGAAAGTTTAAAAAAGATTGCTGCTGAGGACATCAGTTCTTACTTAAGTCTTACGGGCTGCAAGAATATATTATAGATTCAGCTGTGTATTAAAGCTATGCTTTGACTGACCGAGGCTCCGTCAAATGGGAAGCCATTTATCAGGGAATGTTTGGTGTTATACAGCCATAATATTCAGCTACACCTTGCTATGAATTTCTTGTGGGCCCATATATTAGTAGACCATTTTGCAAACTGTTCAGCTTCTCACACCTGCTGAACCTCTAGGTAACTCCCCCCACCACCACACACACACACTGAGTCTAGGAGACAAGTAGGCTATAGATACATGGCTTTGCTTCTTGTGCAAATGAAGCCCAGACCATCCCCTTCCTTCAGGCCTAGGGGCATGGCAGAGAGATGGACTGAGGACAGTAGGGCTTTTTGCATAACCAGGTGCAGTAAGGACTGGAGAGGAATTCCAGAGGAGACAGAACCCAGTGGCCAGAGAGAGGAGAGGAAGACAGAGGTTCTATGGAGGGTAAAGCAGATCTCTTGTAGAGTTTATCAGGGCCAGGGGTGAGGAGCCAGGAAGGATAGATGGAGAAAGAAGGAACAGAGGAGGGAGATGAGGGCTTAGTTATTACCAGGGCTATGAGGGGACAGAAAGAGTAGGTACAAAGAGGAACTGAGACTCAGGATGGAACTGAAGCTGTATAGAGTTTTGTCATAAAGGAATAAAGTAAAAGGACAAAAGAGCATTGTGTACGTAGATTCCTTTCCCTCAGGTACCCCTCACCATACATAGCATCTTCCCCAGGACTCTGGGAGGAATTTTCTCAGGGCAGGCCTTGAGAAAATTGCGTTATCTTTACTTAAGGACTCTTTCAGGTAAGCTCTACCTCCATGACCCTCTCTCTCACTAAGGAAGCCACGAGCTCTTTCCTCATCATCCCATCTATCATCCTACGTTCTCCTGTATGAGTGGAAAAACCTCCCATTACCACAACCCTCCTCCTTATCCTTCCCTTGGTTACCTTGGAGATCCACAAAATGAGGGAGGTACACAGCAGCCACAGCTCCCTGCTCAGCCTTGATGTCAAACAGAGGCCCAGCCACCATGTGACTCTGTTCCAGGGAAGTCTTGCCCAGGAATTGGCTCCAGGCACAGAATTTTATCTCTATAGTCACTGCTCTTGTCACCACAAAGCGAAGACCAGTGCTGGGCCAGTGATAGGAGCCAGCCATGGGGAACTGAACTCTAGAAGATGCAGAAACAGACATGCATTGGATAAGGTCTGCTCACAGGCTGGATACAGATCTGGTGCAGGGCCATAGACACACCGACTTCAGTCAAATCTCTGAGTCCTGGCTCCTTTGCTCTCTGCATATGGACCCTAAACAAAGTATTTAGCCTTCTGACTCCTGGTTTCCTTATCTGTAAATAGGGGCAATGGCAATATCATCTTATAGATCTGTGAGTACTGAGCGAGCTAGAGCAAACCTACAGGGAACACACACCTAGAGCAACTAGCTATTCCTGTGATGATGATGATGAAATAGGTGAGTCTCTCTCTCTCTCTCTCTCTCTCTCTCTCTCTCTCTCTCTCTCTCTCTCTCTCTCTCTTCCCCCCTCTCCCATTAAAGCTCTAAAAAGGCAACCATGGCCTGTGATTCCTCCGATCAACACTCTCCTCCCTCGGCATGGCCGCTGCGAGCGGCGGCCAGCCACGAGCAGCATGCCGTTTAACCAACAGAGGGGACATACTGCGGGAGACTGGTTTGGATGTCAGCCTTTGGAATCCTTTGTGGGGCGTGGAATGGAGAATAGCTCACTCACCTGTACAGGTTTCTTTCTCTGTCAACCACCTCAGTAGCCACAGGTCCTGTGCTGCCCCAGAAGCCATCTTCAGTCCCAAGAGACTCTGTGAGCTTGTCACCCAGAGGGGAAGAGTCGGGTGAGTGGGGGAGTTTCAGCTGCGCCGTGTGTGGAGCTCCTTCCTCTGGAAGAGGCAGGACAGTGGTCACTCCCCAGCCTCTCTCTCCAGCTAGACTGGGGCTAGGCTCTTCCTGAGACCTGGCTGCATCAGAGAGTGAGTCTGTTCTCTTTGTCCCTGCTCCTGAGGCTTCTCTGTTTCTTTCATTTTCTCTCTCTCTCCTCTTCATCCCTCTTTTCTCCTCTCACTATCTCCTTTTTTTCTTGTTTTCACTGCTCACCTTCTGAGCATCTCCAAACCTTGGCATCTGCTTCTGACTAATGCCCTGCCTTCTTCTTCCCTACTGGCCCAGAAGTGTTTCTTTTCCCAGCATTTCTCCAGAGACAGGTTGAAGATAGAACCTGTCTCTGGGAAGGGCTGGGGAGGTGGTTTCCAGGCCTTAGCATGTGACAATGGGACATGGGTGCCTGGTATAGAGTCTGATGCCTGCCATAGACATGTGAGAGGGATAACATTGAATCCTGATGCTGTGATAGAAGAAAGCAAACTATCATCCCTCTAGATTCTAAATGTGAAAGATGGTGCAAGTTCCTCTTTCCAGGAGTGAACCTGCTTTTCCCCATATCAGAGATGGGGGAGAGAAATGATGGTCCCATCATGATGCTTCAAGTCTGGCCCCTTCACATACCTGACTGTAGTCTCTGCCGCTTGCATGAGGATGGGCCAGCACTCATTTCTCCTTTATCCAGACCCAGAGTAGAGACAGTCTCACGTGGTTTCCTGTATGCAGAGATGTTCTTCCCCTCAGAGGTCAGGGGAAACTAGGGTTGTCTATAAGACATCCCCACCTACAATCTAATTCATCTGAATTTGAACTAAGGCCCATGATTCTCCTCTAGGCCACATCTCTATGATCCCCTTTCCCCAGGTCTACCTAGGTACCTGTGTCATAACTGATATCATCTTGATCCCTTCCTTTTTAAAAATTTTATTTGTATTTTTGTATGTATGAGTGCTCTGCATGTATGCCTGCATGCCAGAAGAGGGCACCAGATCCTATTATAAGTGGTTGTGAGGCACCATGTGGTTGCTGGGAATTGAACTCAGGACCTCTGGAAGAGCAGCCAGTGCTCTTAAGCCCTGAGCCATCTCTCCAAGGCCTCTGCCTTCATGAATGGGTTAGTGTCATAATTACAGGAGCAGAGTCTCGTGGCCAGAATGGGATTGCCACAAAAGCCAGCTCAGCCTCTTGCTCTCATTGTACATTCTGGTCCTTTCCTGTTCTGCCCGGGGATGGCAAAACAAGGAGTGTGGGCCCTGGCCCCCCACTGTGAGTGGCTGCCGCCTTGCTTGCCGACCTTAACCAGATGTCCTCCCTATTCAGATTCCCTGCCGGTTTCCTTCTCACCTAACTGATCAACTGGAGGTTCTTTGTTCCTGTATCCTGCATTTGGTGTAAACAGTTTAGATGCAAGAACGTAGCAGAGAACTTCTGCCCTCCAGGGATCCGCCATTGTGCTGTAAGCCTGTATTTAAGGTTTCCTCCCTCTTTCAATAAAAGGCATTTGGCATTCAGCCGTGGCGAATGACTCGCTGTCTCTTGTCCCTTATTTTTTAATCCTCAGCCCCTCGCTTGGACATGGTGAATGGGTATCGGTAATGCAGGCGTTGCTGCTACAAAGGAGGATTTCCCCAGATGTGGAGCCCACAGCTTGACACTCCCCAGTCTTTACAACTCCAGCGAATCATCTTTTTTTGATGTAGCCAGGCACAGGTGAGGCAGCAGAAGAGGGACTGAGACAGTCACTCACCCTGACAGCACCTCCCACATTTCTGTCCTTTCTGTTCTCTGCTCTCCACCTTCACAGATGCCAACTATGTCCCGAGAGAGAGAGAGAGAGAGAGAGAGAGAGAGAGAGAGAGAGAGAGAGAGAGAGAGAGAGCCTGATGGCCTGAACCACTGCATCACACTCCAACAGGTTTTCTGCTTTTCTGCTCTCAACCTCCTCTAGCCCAGTTTCTAGAAGGTAGTTGACCAAAAGACAGGAAACAGGTGTCCCTTCACTGCTGAAGCCCTGGAGTGGCTCTCTTCTGTTTCATGGAAGAAAGTGATGGGTTCACAACACGCCCCCATGGTTGGGTGTGTTTGCACATGCTCGGCGGACCTGGACACTTCCGCCTAGCCAGTTCCAGGTCAAAATAGTCATTTCCGGGTCAAGACGGCTTGTGTGACCAGGATCCGTGACTTTGCATGGCGCAATGCAGCCATGTGATCTACGCACATGCGTGGAGTTACGTCTGTTGTGCCCAGATCGTGACCCCCAGAGAGACCACCAAAGACGAGCATGCCGGAATGCAAAAGCAAGGTTTAATTCTGGATATCCAAAAGCAATACAAGCCTAGGCAGGGACTTCGTCCAATACATCCAACACAGTGGAGGCTGGAGGAAGCGCCCACCTGTCTGCAAGCTCAGTTTTTAAAGGGAAAAGTCACAAGGTTACATCGTTTAGGGGTGCTAGTACAGGTACAATTCTGATTGGCTTGCTTCTAGGGGCTTTCTAGAAATCATGGCTTAATCTTACTTCTAAGGGAGTGGTTGCCCACCACCATTTCTCATTGGCTGCCCTCAGGTGGGGGCATTTTTATGGTCAGTTACCCTGGAAACCAGGGAGAGGACATTCCATAGTTGGGCAGGCATTACCTCGTGACTATCTTGTGACTCTATACTTTTATACTTCCTGGTTTCTGGAATCTGAACTGACTTGTTTCAGTAACTATTGGCCTATTCCTAGAAGGAGACTCTTAGGCCTTAGTTTTTGGGTGAAGGCATTTTGATCTTATTTCTAAGATGGCTCATTTTGGTCTCACAACGTCGACCTTTATCATATGCACGCCTAGCCTTTATAAGCCAGCGCCATATTCCCGGCTTTCTCTCTCTCTCTCCTCTTCTTCTTCTTCTCTACACATGTGTCTTCCACAGGCCTGGGCACTCGTCTGTCCCTTTCATCTTAATAAAACTCTTGTTAGCGGATTCTGTCGTGTTTTGTGACATTTCCTCACAGGGTAAGAGCACCGCGAAATAACTAACAGAAAGTCCTTAGCACAGTCCACACGCTTTGCCACAGCCCTGTCGTCCTCCAGCCCTGACTATGCCACCTTTTCTTCCTTCCCCAGACTCGTGGCTTTCACACTCAGCGTGCTTGAGTGTCACTTGGATGACCTGCTAAATCAGAGATCCTATTGACGGAAGCTGCTTCACTCCTGGATGCAGAACCAATGGGTCTGGCGTGGGCCCTGAGAAGCTGTGACTCTTTTTTTTTTTTAAGTTTTTAAAATTTGATTTTATGTGTATGATTGTTTGCCTGCACATATGCATGTGTAGTTCATGCATGCCTGGTGCCCACAGAGGCCAGAAGAGGGCACTGGATACTCGGAACTCAGTTGCAGATGGTTGTGAACCACCATTTGGGTGCTGGGAACTGAACCTGAGTCTTCTGTAAGAGCAGCAAGTGCTCTAACCAGTGAGCAGTCTCTCTAGCCCCAAACATCTCTCTGTGTCTTTGTCTCCCATGTGTGGTGACTCCATTGCTCCAGCGTTCTGGGTTCACTGTGGAGCTGGTAGCTACTTGTGCTGTGCCCAGAGGATTCTCTACTCATTTCCTTTTTTTCTGTTATTGAAGGAGGGAGGAGGTCTTAAAAACAGGCTTACAGCACAATGGGAGAACCCCAGAGGGCAGGAGTTCGCTACAGATGTTTTACAGTCTTGCATCTAAGCTGTTAATGCCCAATATGCAGGATACACAGACAAGGAACTTCCCTTAAGCATTCAGGAGGGTGGAACCCGGCAGGGAATTAGCACAGGGAGGACATCAAGGTCAAGGTCAGCAAGCAAGGCAACAGTTACCCAAAATGGGGGCCATCCTTTTTTTTTTTTAATCTCGTCCCTTTCACATGGAGGGATTTAAGAGGCAGGTTATGTGATTCTATTTTCACTAATGAACAAAACCAACACAAATGAAATCAAAATAACCCACTTCGTGTTGGTTGCTATGGTTTCCTGGTTTCTTCCTGTTCTGATTTATCTCTCCTGCCACCCCAGGACCATTTTCTCACCTCTGAGCTCTGGACCAGCCATAGAATCTCATTTTGAACCACTCCTTACCATGTGCTCTGGATGAGAAGCTTGGGATTCTTTTCCGTCAGAGCCCTCAGCTCCGCCATCACCTGCTCACTCAGAGAGGCCTGGTCTAGCCTGCAAGCACAAGGGAAGCCATATTGTCCTGGGACACACCAAGGAGTGTGGAAGACTCTCACAGTTAGGTTCCTCAGAATTAGGTTCTGAGATGAAGCCAGCGAGGGAGCTTATTAGGGTGTGTTCTTTGGCCAACACCAGGACAGAGAAGAGAGGGCAGTAGCCATGGAGAGGGGCAGATGTGGCCATGAAGTGGTGCCAGTGAGGTCTTGGCCAGATCACAGGCAGATCGGAACTGGGATGATGGCCTTTGGGACTGTTGCCTTTTTATACTCCTACATGGTGCAGATGTTGGATCTGAACCATCCTAGGAATGGGGCATGACTGGGTGTGGAGGTTCTTGTTGGGAGAGAGCATCCCTACAGCCCTCAGCATCACTGTGGTTGAGGGTCACGAGGTCACGGCTTTGTCACAGAAGTGACTCTGGAGAGCTGTTTAAAGAAAATGTAGAAGGTCCGGGTTCTAGGATTCTGTGAGAATTCCGCTAGAAGGACAGATCTTTGTCCCATTTCTGTCTTCCCCATTTCAGTGCTAGAGATGGGAGTTGTGTTCTCACACATGAGCTTTCTCTATTGAGCCACAAGCCAGGCCTTGGATTCCACTCTTACAGGCTTCAAGTCCCGGGGCTTCTGTAGGTTTAGGAGAATTACCACCTTCCTTGGGCCTCCATGTCCACAACCAGGGACACCATCACTCCCTCTCAGGCTGCTATGAAGTGAGAACAAGGCAGGAGAGGAAAGAGTCCTACACTTTCGAGAGGCTGTCAGTGCCACTGCTCCTGCCCTAGGGGCTGTTCTCCTTGGGGAGGGAGATGGAGCCCGTGAAGTTGAAGCTTGTTCCTGTCTCCAGGAGGGAAGGAGGCAGCTGAGATTTGACAAGTAACCGAGATGTGTCCTGAAAGCAGAGCTGTGGCAGAGGCCAGCATTGGAAAGGCTCATCAGCGTGTGGAGAGAGTCATGGGTGAAAGCTGGATGGGCCAGTTTCCACCATCCGTGGGGTCAAAAGCAGACTCCTCCTGGCCATGTCCTGCTCTGACTGTTCCTTTAGATTTCAGAGCAGAAGTGGTGGTCCTGGTGGGAAAGTCACAGGGCAGAGGCTTCTTAGACTCTCTCTGTCAAATGGAAGAACCAGAGGGCACTGGACACAGGGGTCTAGAGCCTTCTGTGGTTCTCTGAGCACATAGCAGGAGGGCTCTGGCCAGGAACTGCAGGGAGTGTTCCTCTAGGCTCTTGCTGGGGAGGTAGAAGGGAGAGGAAGCTGGATGCATGGAAGTAGAGAAGGACATACAGGAGGGAGGCTTTCCTAGTTTGCATGTAAATCTAGGGCTTGGAGATGACTCCAGTTCAGCCACACAGTGTCGATTGAAGCTCTTCTAAGTCTCTATGTCTGCCCTTTGGCCTCCTTTTGTTTCAGGGTCTTCCTCCACTCTGCTTTTGTCGGGACTACTGTCCCCAGATTGGCCTCAGAGAAGTCTCCATGGACCCTTCAATACAGTCTCCCCTCCCACAGCATTACACACTCACAATACTATTGACTCCGCAGCATCCAGCAGAGCTTGTCAATAGAGTCAGGGGCTGATGGGTGATCTATGCCTGTCTTTTCCCACCCAGCTTCAGGAGGACAGAGCCATGTGTGTTTGTGATTCTATACCCAGGGCCGGGACCAGTGCTTGGCACACAGGTGCCTAATACAAAGGAATGAATGAGTGAATGAGTGAAGAGCTACCACGGAGTGAAATGAAGTCGTTTGAACATGCAGCCTCATTTTAAACCTTTCTTTTAATTTATTCTTTGTGTCTTTCACATCATGCATCTCAATCCCATTCATTTCCCTGTCCCTTTGTATCTGCCCTCTGCCCTTGCAACCTCCCCCGACAAAATAAAAAAAAATATAAAAAGTTTAGGAGGAAAAAATAAAGGAAAAATCAGTCTCATCATGGGAGCTGTAGTGTGACAGTTACTTGCAGGTGTTCATTGCAAAGAGTCATTGGTCTGGATCAAGGCCTCTGGTTTCTGCTGCACTATCAATGCTGGGCCCTCACTGGGACTCCTCTTGGATATCTTGTTGTTGCCCTGGGTCATGGAGATCCTGCAGCTTTGGTTCTGCAAGAACGGTCCCTTCAGGTGCTCCAGCAGATCATAGATGGGGTGGATGTTGGAGTAGGCCAACTCATAACCCTGATTCTGGGCCTGGGTAGTTGCAGGGTTGGTCAGCCTGCCAGCTCTCCCCAGTCCTCACCACCAGGGTGAGCTCTCCAGCATTGCCCTGACTAGTTAGCTCCTTGTAGCAATGAGCAAGGGGTGGGGCCAGTTCTCCTGCTTACGTGCCCTCAGGGTCAGCTCTCCCACACCTGCATCATCAGGGGCAGCTCTACTGTGTTGCCCAGGTGAGGTGCAGGGGCCACTCTCCCGAGTACTGCAGCTGACGAGGGACAGGGATAGTTCTCTCACCCTTATGACCTCTCTCCCTCATCTACACCACCATATGGCAGATGAGGGGGTAGGCCAGATCTCCCATGGTCACGTTCTTGGGACTGGTTCACCTGCACCCCAGTCAATAGGGTCAGCTCTACTGTGCTGCCCAGGCAAGGTGCAGGCCTGCTTTCTGAGTGCTGCAGCTGGTAAGGGGAGGGTCAGCTCTCTTGTCTGCTGCAGGTGGTGAAGGACAAGGGGTAACAGGACGGGGGTGGGGCGCATCTCTGTCCCGCCCATGCCACCAACATGAAGCCTCATTAATAAATATGATTCCACAGTGGCCACCTGCCCACCTGGTATTATGTTTGTTTTTATATATGTATATTATATGTCATTACAATCCAAAAGGTGGGTATGACATTCCCGTTTAATAGATGAGGGAATTGAGTTCAGAGAAGACAGGGACTTGCCGAAGTCACAGGTGTAAGTGGCACAAGCTGGTCAGGAGCCAGACTGACTGTGCATTATCTGTCCCCTTTCTTTTACACATCGGATCCTCTGGTATTCCACCTACTGCCTTCCCAGGCCTCCCTGTAGAAGGGACTCCCAGAGTCTTTCTTACCGCAGGATTCTGAGTTTGCAGGCAGGATTCCTGAGGCCCTCACACAGCAGCCTCACACCACGATCGCCCAGGTCATTCAGCTGCAGGTCTAGCTCAGTCAAGCTGCCGCTGGTGCAGAGGACAGAGGCCAGGTCCCAGCAGCAGCTGTATGTGATGCCACAGCTGACCAGCCTGCATGAGAGATACACTCTGTCATTTCCTGAGAGTTCACTCCTCTAGATAGCGTGGATTGGGTCTCCCTTTCTGGTACCTGCCAGGTCCTCATTAAAGGGAAATTGGGGTTTCACTGGATTGTAGTAACTTTTCAAGGTTTTAATTTTCCTCTTGCACCTAAGTTGCCCCTGAGGATGCAGACCACCTCTACTTCTCACTCCTGGTAGGATTCACACCAATTCTCCTTTCTACCACATCAACTTTATATGTACAACTTACCCAATGCCCAATTTGTATACCCAAGATTAACTGTTAGCTACATTGGCCCAGCCAAATAACCAGAGACAATGGATATAAGATGTCTAGGTAGTTCCAATATTATGGTCATTGATAGACCAGATAATAAACCAGTGAGCTTCTAGTACAAGAACAGAAGGTGAAAAGGAACAAGGCAGGTTTGTTTGGACCCAAGAGCCTGTCTTAGGCTTCTCAGTATATATTGGGATCTAGAGTATGTGTTACTCAGGCTACGACCATGTCTGCAGCTGACATCTGTGATGCATCTTTGCCTATCCATGTCTCATCAGGGTGGAAAATTCAATATGTCCCATAACTGAGCTGCAGGACCAATGGCGTATAGAGGTTTACTGTTCTGCTGCTGGGTCAGGGAGGGCCAAGCTCCTCGAAATCCACAGCATCCCACTAGTGTGTCTCAAGAACTATGCAAAAGTGAAATATTCTGTGAAGACATAGAATAGGGCATGACTCACTCGTCATGTGAAATCTTTTTTTTTTTTCGAGACAGGGTTTCTCTGTGTAGCTTTGGTGCCTGTCCTGGATCTCACTCTGTAGACCAGGCTGGCCTCGAACTCACAGAGATCCGCCTGGCTCTGCCTCCCGAGTGCTGGGATTAAAGGTGTGCTCCACCACCACCCGGCTGTGAAATCTTAATAAAGATGGAGTCCATAGAAACAGAGTAGAAGGCTGGTTACAAGGGTAGAGAGCAGGAGGGAATGGGAGATGCCATTCCCTGGGCCTGGAGCTTTCTTCCTTCCTGCTTCGTTTAGCCTCTTCCTCTGTGTTCTTCAGCTCTGCTGTAGCCGCTTCCTCAGGAAGTTTGCTCCACTGCAGACCTCATGGGCCTCTTGTTAGCAATAGCTAGTGGATGTCAGTCTTTCATGATCCCCAAGAACAGGACCCCATTGGTTTATCATAACGAGTCTGGTATCTGTCATGGGTGTGGTCAAAAGGGTTCAGTGAATGTTTGATGAATACCTAGCCTCACCCTAGACTCAGATTTTGCCTTTATTCTCCTGCCATCCATCCCTGCTTCAGAGGAGAACCCAGGCCAGACTCACCACAATATCTTTAGTTGGCAGCCATGATGTCTCAGGGTCCTACAAAGACTCTGTACTTCAGAGTTACTCAGTGGATTTCCACTTAGGTCCAGCTCCTCCAGGCTTTCTGTGAACTCAAGAGTGGAGAAGAGAACCTGCCAACTGGCATTAGTGATTGGGGTCCACCTGGACCTGAGGGAAAGAAAGAGAAAGGAGAGCTGTGAATTGCATACGCAATCTGAAGTGGACAGCCCCACACTGCAGAGTGGAGTTCTATCCTCCTGACTCCGAGGCCTCTGTGGAGGTTTGAATAAGAACGTCTCCCAAAGGCTCATAGATTTGAATGCTTGGTCACAGGGAATGGTTCTGTTAGGACATTCAGCCTTGTTGGACTAAGTGTGGCCTTGTTGGAGGAAGTGTGTCACTGTGGTGGGTGGGCTTTGGGATTTTAAATGCTCAAGCCAGGTTCAGTGTCTCTCTTTTCCTGCTGTTCTCAGATCTGAATGTGGAACTCACAGCTGCCTTTCCAGTGCCATGTCTGTCTGTGTGTTACCATGATTCCTGCCATGATGATAATGGACTAAACCTCTGAGTGTAAGCAAGCCCCAATTAAATGTGCTTTCTTTTATAAGAGTTGCTGTGGTCATGGCGTCTCTTCACAGCAATAGAACACTGACTAGACAGTTTTACTACGCCATCCCCAGGGCAGATTTGCCTCTACACCTATTCTTCTTCCCTAACATCTTGGTCCTTTATCTGTGTAGTTCCTCATCTATGGTCTTTAGCATGCTGTATGCTCATTTTGTTTTCTGTTTCCATTTCAGTCTAGGTGTTCCTCGAGGCCATGGACAGATAGGTGGCATCTTTTCTTTATAGTATCAGTGCCTAGTATAGGACCTGGCACAGAGGAGGACGTTGGTAGTTTGGACAGTCTTATTTCCTTTGATATGTACATACCTGTCTCCTTTTATAGAATTCTAGAGTCACAGTGGCCATAAAGGTAAACTGGAGATGGGAAGTGGAGCGTTCAGGAGAGGTGGTTGAGGGAGACTCTGTGATGGGATGTTGAATATGATCATAAACACTATGACCATGTTGGTTTACATGGACCCCACTCCCTTCCAAGAATAGAAGACCACAGATACGTTCCATGGAGAGAACCAAGGGAATGTCTTGGGAGAGAATGTCTGCAGGCTGAGTGGGAGAGAATTCTGGAATTGCTGAAATGGACTTTGCCCTGTATAACTCCTGCCTAATTAATTTCTCCATTTTTACACACCCCTTTATCAACCTTACTGGCTTCCAGGTTTCAGCTACTCAAGGTTTATCCCAAACTTCAGACAGCTATTTCTGTTCTTTAGTTCAATACCTCAGTTAACTCTTTGACCTAGTGTGTCTCAATTTGTTTCCAATCTTAATCCATTCCACCACCTCCACAGTGTATAGAGCCATGCAGAGGTGACTAGCCAGCTGCCTGCACACCAGGCTGTGCCTCACTCAGTCTTCTTAGCTGCAAAAGCCTGGGCCACAGGGGTTTCCACTACTCAGAAGACTCATGAGGATGACAAGATACTTGCTTACTCTTCGTTCTGCAGCAGTCTGCCTGCCAGAGGCCCTCCTCCCAGCCATATCCATTCCCTGGGGACTCCACTTCTTGGTGCTGATCCTCAATCACCTTAGCTCTTTCTCACAGACCTTCCAAGCCTTCCCTTCTAGCTTAACTCCACTTCTTTGTGTCAGTACTGACCCACAGAAACACTTTCAACAGGGATCCCAGTGGCCATTCTGGGCTGGGACATAGGTAGACAGTTTTTATTATTCTTCCTGTCCTCCTTACCAGTCTTTCCAGGCTTACTCTTAGTCCTGCTGAAGCATGTCTGCAGGGTCCCCTCCTCCCACCCCACCTCTATTCCCTGGGGACTCCACATCTTGGTGCAGACTAAGGGTTACCCTAGCTCTTTCCCAATGCCTCTCTCAGTCTTTGCTCCTAGTTGATCTCCATTCCTTTGTATCATCCACTGAATTGCAGAAACACTCTCTACCAGGGAACCCGAAGTGACCATACTGGCCTGGGATTGTGAGTAGGCAACAGCAATCAAAGAATGTAACACACCTCCAACAAAGACAAGACCAGATATCTATGCCTAGAAACATCTCAAATATAACTTCAGATGTATAGAATCCAGCCAAAAAACATAAATATGAACAGTCAAGAGAATATGCTTCCTCCAGAAGCCAGCAACCCTTTTGAAATAGACCCTGAGAAATGTAATTTAGCTGAAGCACAAGGCAAGGCCTTCAAAATGGCAATTATGAATATGTTCAAAGACCTTAACAAAAATTTGAATAAACGCCTTAATGAAGACTGTGAAAACACAAACAGTTGAGTGAAACAATAAGAAAACAAGACATGAAAACAGAACTTAGGAAAGTAATAGAATCACTAAAGAAAACCCAAACTGAAATAAAAGTGGAAATGAAAAAAACTCAGGATGTCAAACAAAAACCTCAGAGGAAAGCCTTTCCAACAGATGACAGGACATGGAAGAGAGAATTTCAGGCCTTGAAGACAAGGTAGAAGAAATGGATAGGTCAGTCAAAGAAAATGTTAAATCTAAAAACTACAGGCACAAAACTTACAGGAAATCCAACTCATGATGAAAAGACCAAACCTATGACTAATAAGTATAGAAGGAACCCAGATAAAAGGCAAAGGAATTTTTTACAAAACAAAATCAAATAAGAAATTTCCCCCATCTAGAGAGGGAGGTGCCTATCAAGGTACAAAAAGCAATATGGAACATTAAATAGATAAGACCAGAAAAGAAATTCCTATAACACACAATGATCAAAATGCTAAATATACAGAATGAAGAAAGAATATTAAAAGTTGCAAGGGAAAAAGACCAAGTCACATAAGATGGCAGATTCATCAGAATAACACCTGACTTTTTTTTTTTTTTTTAAAGATTTATTTATTATGTATACAGTGTTCTGCCTGCAGGCCAGAAGAGGGTGCCAGATCCCATTACAGATGGCTGTGAGCCACCATGTGGTTGCTGGGAATTGAACTCAGGTCCTCTGGAAGAACAGCCAGGCTCTTAACCACTGAGCCATCTCTCCAGCCCAACACCTGGCTTCTAACAGAGACTTTGGAAGCCAGAAGGTCCTGGATGGATGTTCTACAAACTCTGAGAGACACAGATGCCGACCCAGACTACACTTTCCAGAAAAACTGTCAATCACAAACATTGGAGAAAGAAAAACATCCCACAATAAAATGAAATTTAACTAATTTCTATCTACAAATCCAGCTCTACAGAAGGCACCAGAAGGAAAAGTTCAGCCCAAAGGTGTTGACTACAAGAATACAAGAAAATAAGCCGGGTGGTGGTGGTACACGCCTTTAATCCCAGCACACGGGAGGCAGAGGCAGGCAGATCTCTGTGAGTTCGAGGCCAGCCTGGGCTACCAAGTGAGTTCCAGGAAAGGCGCAAAGCTACACAAAGAAACCCTGTCTTGAAAAACCAAAAAAAAAAAAAAAATTAGAAAATAATCTCAGAACAGTAAATCATCAAAATCCAAATCACAAAAATAAAATAGCAGGAAATCAACAAATACTGCTCATTAATAACACTCAATATTAATGGTCTCATATCCCCAATAAAAAGACACAGACTAACAGATTAGATTAGAAAACAATCTGCCTTTTTGCTGCTTCCAAGAAACACAACTCATCATGTGGATAGGCATTACCTTGCCCCAAGCTGGAATTATCTGTGAAGAAGAATCTCAGTTGAGAAAAGGCCTCCATCATTTGGTTGTAGGCAAGTCTGTAGGGCATTTTTTTTATTAGTGATTGATGTGGTAGAACCCAGTTCACTGTTGGCAGTGTTCTCCCTGGGCTGGTGTTCCTGGGATGTATAAGATAGTGAGATGAGCAAGTCATGCAGAGCAGTGCAGTAAACCTTGTCCCCCCACAGCCTCTGCTTCAGTTCCTGCCTACAGGTTCCTGACATGAGTTCCCTTCATGATGGACTGTGTTGTAGAAGGGTAAGCTTAAGTAAATCCTTTCTTCCCCAAGGTGCCTTTTGTCTTGGTGTTTCATCACAGCAAAATAAATCCTTACTAAGACAATAATCATATAAAAATGAGAGTCATTTCATTGAGCCATCTTCGTGTGTGTGTGTGTGTGTGTGTGTATGTGTGTATCATATGCTGATTGCATTTATTCTCTCTAACCCATTTCCTCCCCTCCCCTCCCCATCTCCTTCCTGTTCTACAATAGTTACTCTACTACTTTTAAATCCATTTTTTATTTTTAAGGTGGGTTTCCTCCCACTGTTGCTCAGATTGGTCTCGAATGCCTAAACTCCAGTAATTTTCCAGCTTTGGCTTCCTGAGTAATGGAATTACAAGCCCATGCCAGCAAGTCCAGCTGGAATGTGGGTTTTGTCATGAGAAGAAGCTTGAAAATGTGGAAATAGAAGACTGAAAACCAAACCAAACCCAAAACATTTATTCCTCTGAGAATCTTTCCCTTTCTGGTCCACTTGTGTCATCATTCTCTTCTAAGGTACCTTGTATGTGGCTGATCATTGCAGATGCCATGCCAGATGGTAATTAGAGTAGAAGACTGTCTTTTCTTCCAAGTTGTGAGGTGATTATGGTAGCAATTCTATTTTCTGTTTTGTGATTGGTAGGGCTCATCATAAAATCAGTGCTTAATGAATATTTATGGAATGACTCAAGGGGAGTCTGATATTGAGTAACCACTGATACTGAGTACTGATACTGAGTAATCACTGCTGCACAAAGGCATGGGACCTGGGAAGGGACATCCACCATGTCCCATGGATAGGGACTATTTTAGGTTGAGTACTAAGGGTCACAGTGGTATCAGTGACTCAAGTAAGTCACTTTTTTTGTGGGATGTCTTTCTGTATGCTGTGAATATGTGTTGTTCTCCTTGGTAGATAAATAAAGCTGTTTGGCCAATAGCAAGGCAGAATAAGGTTAGGTGGTACATTCAAACTGAAGACAGAGATGAAGAAGGGTAGAGTCAGAGCAGACACCAGTCCATTGGCCAAGGAGCAACATACCAGTAGACTGGTAACACCATGACCACATGGAAATACATAGATTAATAGAAATGGGTTCATTTAAGATGAAAGAACTAGTGAGCAATAAGC